AGTGCGGACCGTCCGTTCTATCCTCATAGAACGGACGGTCTGCGTGTTGTCGTGGACCGTCCGTTCTGCTTCCCAGAACGGACGGACCACGCATCCGGACCGTCGGGTCTCGACCCGTCCGACTCGGTTTTCCGTCGTTTTCTCTCGTGCTTTTGTCCTTCCCTGTGTGTGTGACCCTGTAGGCTCATTCGACATAGCAGTATAACCCAGAATCTCCATTCCGGTAATATAAGTCATAGGCGGTCTCTAGCAAGACACTATGACTACCTATCTCGAATAGAGTTTGTTTGTGATCATACGAAAGCCAGTGATGATTCCGACTGATGATCCTTTTGTATCGGGATATCATATGTCGAACATAAGGCATGGACAAACCACCTTATCTGATTCGACTGCTTTCTCGTTCACTGAGTTCGACTGTCTGAAATAGACGACGTTCGTCTATAGTGCGGCCACACATTTCTACAGTCTTGCTCACACGAGGGGCCCAGCGATATCTCTCTCTTTTACGAGAGGTACAAATCCCGTCTTGACTATCTACAATCCAGTACATGATTCGTTTCGTACCTGATACACGCCTTTATAGTCCTCCTGTTACGCAGGACGTTTGACGTAATCAAAGCACGCAACTCCTCATGTTGGATTCTGTAGATATCTCAGGTCTTAGGATTCAATCATGGAATCGTCGTATGAGATTCAAGTCATGACGCTAGTCCATGTGACAATCTCATGCGGGTCAGTCCAGTATTTCATTCTGCAACGAATACCTATGATTGTGATCGTATCCAATACCTATGATCATCTCTGTGATCATCAATCACAGATCATACTAGTCTTATTATGTCGTTATTCCCATAATGACACAAGACTAGGGAGTTTAGTATCATTCCTAATGATACATGGATTTCATAACAGATCTAGCATGCAAGAACATGTAATGAATAAAATACTCTCATAAAACCACATAGAAAGTATCAATACATCGAATGTATCTGAACAAAGCTCATAATCAGTACATCATAGAGCACTAAACCAACACAAACCGCTCATTGAGCCTAGACGAGATCTAGGGTTGCACGTGGTGTGCACTGCACACAGTGTGTTTGCTGCTGGTAGAATTTCTTGTGGTATTGGGGTTTTACTCAGGGGGAGTGAAACTGGGTGGGTTGAGTGCTACTTGGAAAGGATTGAAGTGTACTTGACACATATAAAAAAAATAGAATCATTTTGGGAATTCGTCTGTTTCAATATTGTGTGAGAGTGTTTTAATTGCACATCACATCCCGTTCTCTCGGCTTCGAATGATCGTGTAGTGTGTTGATCATTCGGAATATCTCTCGAAACCTGAGAGGTCGAGTCTTCGACATCCTGGAGAGCTCCTTCCGTTATGCTCCCATCCTCGTCCAAGTCCAAGCCGCTAGCTCCGATGTCCTCATCATTCCCTCCCCCTTGCAAAGATTTCGCCCTCGAAATTCTATTTTCTGCAACAAAAGGAAATGTATCAGCCACCTTAAACATAGAGGACACCTTATACGTACCTTGGTCTCGGCGGATGTGCTCGACATCATATTGCTCTTCTTCTCGTGTTCTTCCTCGATCGAATGGCTCGTATTGCTTGATTGTTTTTGGGTTTATAGCGGTTCTAATCCTTGAATCATCCATGCATCTATGATAAAAGTATTTGGCTTCGTGTGCTCGGATGAGGCTTTCGATGGTCAATGTTAGAATTGCCTTAATCTTCTTTTCGACCATACACAAGTTCTACAATCTAGTAGCAAAATCTAGGACAACAATGTTAGTGCAACTTGTGTTCTCATCAAATGGCTTCCTTTGGTTATATACAAGAATAAAGATCAGAACGAAGTTACCGCGTAAGGCTCTTGAAGTAAGGAACATGACCCAAATGTGTGTTCGAGTGTTGGTGGTGTCGTAAGGACGGATCAAGTTCTCCACATTTGTACACTTTCCTCGTTCGAATGGTGCGTCCTTCTTTGGTTCCATGGGCATTAAAGTGATCATGCTTATTGGGTGCCCATTGAGTTGATGGTAATGAATGCAGAATTTGATCTTGGAAAATGCACGTAGTTGCCTCTTCTTGCACTTCTTTGACCCTTTCATCAAAATGTAGTACTTGCGAACAATTAACAAGATCTAGAAAAACAACCTCATTAGTGTAGTATGTGCATCCCTTGAGAACTTTATATAGGTAATCCATTTGGAAAGTTCGCATTTGTTGCTCAAGATTCATAACATACTCATCAAAATATGAATCATACACAAGAATAAAAGTAGGAATGAAATTATCGGTTGCTCCAAGTTTTTGACTTATGGTGCAAGTGCGGTCGTTGGTGATGTCATTCGTCATCGTCGAAGGTTTGCTTACCACCTTGAAGCCATCATTTTCCTTCTTGGACGTGACTTTTATTTGCTCAAACCAATCCAATCGTATCATTCCTATCTCTCATTTGACTTCGTTCAAGTTCTCGCCTACTATCACATTCTCCGATTTATCGGCTTCTTCATTGCTTTTCATCACTTTTGTGTTGTTGGAGTCCTCAATGATTTCCTTGCCTCCGAATGCCTCTTTCTTGACGCCACGCATCTCTCCGTTTGCATTCGCAGCACTTTTGGGTACTTCTTTTATCATGAGGTCGGGATCTTCGACCGGTTCCCCTTTCTCTTCGTTCACGTACTCTATTTCCTTCTTGGACATAACCTCATACGTCTCTTCAAGATTTACCACAGCCTCAACTATGGAGTTTGATTCCCCGTCATCCTCGATAATGGTTTCTCGTTGGTTGAGACATTCTCATGCCAAATGATCTTGGTCCCTACACTTAGAACAAATAACCTCATGTTTATGATTAATATATGAGGAAAACGTTTTGTTACCTAGGGCGGTGACCGCCTTTGAAGATACGGTTGAGTCCTCCTTGTGTCGAACATCATGATTCTTCGCCTTGTCTTTGTCTTCGATTTTGACAAAGCTATTGCTTAGTGGTTTTTGTGCTTGTGTGTGCCTCCTTGTCGGTGCTTTGTTCATGTGTTGCTCTATTTTAATCGCCGAATGCACGAGATCCTGTAAGTCATGATAGACCTTTTGTTCTACCTTTCTTGTTATTTGGTCTTGCAAACCATCGAGAAAGTGTGCCATGAGAGCTTCTTCGTCGTCGTCGATTTTCAAGTAAATGAGGAGCTCTTCAAATTCTTCGAAGTATCCCTTAACTGTCTTGTCTTCCTGCATGATGTTATCAAATCTATATTGCAATTCACGAAGATAATGTCGAGGGACATACCTTTTTCGCATGAGGATTTTCATCTCCTTCCAAGTGGAAACCGGATCATAATGTGCACGGCGTCGATTGCTTTCTTCTCGTTCCCACCATGTGAGAGCATCCTTCG